ACACCGGGCTGCCCGGTCGCTCTTTCCCTCAAACGCGCTCTCGGGATCTCCATCATTAAAGCAAGCTTTATTAGGGCTGCGGGGGGGAACGTAAAAAGGCAAAATCCAGCACGTGATAGAGCATGAAATTAAGGTGGTGGTGGTGGGGGAGAGTTTCCTACAGTCAAGGAGAGAAACGTTTGTAGTTTCGGTGAGGATTTTAGCATCTGGTCCCGCGTCCCCCTCCCCCCTGGCCGATACGCCACCTCTGCTTCAAAATTCAGAATACAGCGCGCTCCTTCCCCTCCGCCCCTTCGCCGCGGAGCTGACTGCGGTTCCGAGGCGATTGCACAACGCTTGGAAACGCTGCCTTGGAAGTGGGGATTCGGGAGAGGAGCTGATGCCTTGCTGCCCTGTAGGATCTGGCTGCGCCTGCATCAAATCCTCAGGGTGGAAGGGGCAAAATTGAGAGTCTGTAAAGCAAACGGGTGAATGGGAGTTTTAGAAAGCTGCTTCACTTCAGTTTGCTGGTGGCGGGGGCGGAGGGAAGGAAGGAGCTGTCTGACTTCTAAAATCACTGCAATTCTTACTTAAAGACGAGCATAAAAACATGTAGACGCGCAGTCATTCCAGAGCGATGATTTGGCATCACTGAGTGTGCAAAGAAACTTGACATAATCTCCGCTTTTTAAAACGGCAAAGCCTGTCAAAGTCCCACTCTGACAAAAGCCACTCGGCGAAGGCAACACAACTGATGGCACTTCCGTTAGGGCGCACATAAACCGGGGGGTCATCAAAAATATACTGGGACAGGCAGGAGACACTTGAAAAAGAGAGAGCTCAACAGTTTGAAAACACAAGAGCAGGCGTAGCGAATTGTTTGTTATCGAGGAAGAGAAAGTGAAAGGCTTTTCCAGATATTTATGAAGTTCACAACTGAAACCGTGACCTCTTTCACTCGAAATGTTGTGAGCTTGGTAAAGTGGTAAGCAACAGAAACTACTTTAAAAAATAACCCTCAAGGACACCATCATTTTCTTCATTGTCCGTTACATCAAGGAACGTTTACAGTAATTCAGAATGGGTTTAACTGAATTTCGTCTTACGTAGCTGGTATACAGGCTGAAAACTCTTCCAAGATTAAAAGCCGTATTCAGTTAAAACACTGGTGGCGAAATCTATTGTTGCATCTTCATTACATTTTATGAGATGAAAGGAATTCTCTGATCTCATGAGGTGTATGAGCAATACTAAAATTTGAGTCCCCATTACTACTGGGAAAATAACTGGATGCCTGTCGGTGTAAGGATTTGTTGTATTTGTCAGTCTATTTCAAGCTGAAGGAAAAAAGGAAATCGGTCCCTTTCACTGTCAGGGAAGTATCTGCATCGCTTTCTGTTTATTTCATTTTGCAATGCAAACCAAAAAAACACCAGTGGGGAATGTCCCAAACCTTACCCTGAAGTGACCGGAGACTTCCACCGGATTTAGTGGACAAGAGTCCGAGCCTTTAGCCATGGTTACGCTCATCTTGCGCTGTGCTCCGAACCTCACTTTCTAAGACTTTCTGAAGATCAAGGCAGGTAACTATTTCCTCCTCCCTTCCCCTAAGAAAAAAATATTATGGCCGTTCACACAATTGTGAATCTCTCAAACTGAAAATAGGCATCTTTTGACAACAACGGGGTAGCTGCTCTGTCTTTGGTTTTTCTTCAGGAAAAGCCTGAGTTTTGGACTGAACATTTAACCCCACCCCTTTATTAATCCTGAACTCCGGTGCTAGATATCTAATGCCCTTCTAACGTGTGGCAGCGAGAACTATTTTTAAGTCGCTGCGTTTCTGTATTTGTCATCCATAATTGCCCCTCGCTTGATTAAAAATCATGCCCTTTATTTCTCATTAATCTGGTTTTTTAAACAAATTAACGTACTTGAAAGAATTTCATCCACGCCTTCCCCACTTTTTGGAGACATATTCGTCACACTTGGAACTACTTCAGCAGGGGTTTGTATAAAATCCTAATAGTAAATAACTAAGAAGTGAAGAGAGACTGTTTAAGTTTCAGTGCCAGCATTCTGAGACAATTATTAATGCTCTTGCTTATTTACAGATATATTTCCTCTTCTTAAGCATATCACTTAAAGCCACAGAATGTTCAGTGTTTTCTTGAGCAGTGAATCTGTTCCGCATTTCAGAGCTGAATTAACCTTAGGCTACCCCTTTCTCGCACTACTCTGCTTTTATTTCTGAACGTTTAAGATCAGGAGCGTTGATTCATAAAGCTGAGTTTATAGATAGTTTAAAGAAAGTGAAACATGAACATTCCTTGTATCATTTATCTCCCAAACTAGTAACTGTTGCTCAGCCATATAGATACTCTGAAAATTTACCAGCAGAGATACCCCCTTTTTACTTATTTTTTATGATGGCAGGAGTGTAATTTTTTAAAATTATAAACAAAAATCCAGAGGGCGAACAAAATTTTGGACGATGTACTGTGTGTTTGTCCCTGTGCTTGCTCTTTTTCCCTGGAATTCACATATTGCAGGGGAATGGGAGGATAGAAATATTTTGCGCTATGCTCTGTTGTACTTTTGTTTGGGATTGAGAAAGCAAGGTGAAATGTGCTTTCGCGGTAGTTTTATGAACTGTCTGACTTACAGTTTTCTTTTGCCCTAACCCAGGTTTTAAGCAGTTTGGGAAGTTCCCTTTGAAGATATTGAATAGGCTGCTACAGAACAGGGTGAAATTGTCAACTATTCTTGTAAAGGACTGGGAAATACTGCTTACTTAGTCATCGACCCCCGCATGCTACAGCTGTCAGTGTCTCCAGGTTTTGCAGTCTCTCTCTCCCATTATCTTCAGAACATTCCTTTCAACCTGCGTAGGCCCAGAAGTGGGTCAGTAAACTAGCCCGCGAGTTGAGGAGTGATGCACACAAATCTTTAGATGTTAACGTTTTGCAGTGAATAATGGCATCTGCATCCTTGCCTTTATAACTCAGCTCTGCGTATGTCAAGGATGTAGGAGTAAAAAGACGATACTAAATTTGAGGATAGGTTGCAAATAAATTCGCTTATTTTAAAGTGCACTAATGGTCAGAATTATCTGTGTGCTAATGAGGTGCGGATGAAAACCGTGCTGAGTGTATCAAAAACATATTCTTGGAGAGCTTTGTTGCTTTGTGGTACGAGTTGTTCTATATGGAATATTTTGGATTTTTCTAATGCCTCCCCGTCTCATTACTTGCCTGTGACTTTTGAGGCCATTTTATTTCTGTTTTTTTATACAGTAGGTTTTGATTCTCAGACGATGCAGAACACATCAAATGCAAAATTACTACTGCGATTGTCTAAGTTGGCTTACTTAGGTCCAAGTTTCTTAAAACTTCAGTCAGGAGAAAAGCATATTAATGCCTACATAGAAAGTGTAATCTAGGCTTACTGAGAAATACGAAAAGAAAGTGAATCTGCTAGCCTTAAGGAAGTCTAAAATGCTATGGCGAAAAAAATATCTGTACTATGGTGAAAAGATCAGGGGGAGGCTGAGTACTGTTGAAGGAGTTCTTCTAAGCACTACAACTATTCAAACATTTAATTGCGATAGATAAATATATGTTATAAGTAAATTTGAAACCAGTTAAAGTCTAATGTAATTAAACACATGCCCCTAGGCATGAAAAGCTTTTTTTTTTTTTAAAGTTTGACATGGAAAAATGTTTTTATATGGCGCAGATTTCCAAGGAAAGGCTAGCAGGTAATAACAACTATTCATTTTTTTCACTGTATTTACAATAGTATCACGTAGAAACACTGATGTTAAACCTACAAAAACATTTCAGGAATCCAGTGTTTCAATAGCTGTTCTGCTGGGTTTTGTTCATTGACAAATCACATGAAAAGAAAACAATACTCTTTGTTTCCAGTGTTTTAACATCTTTTATAACCTACCTATTCTCAACATGCAAGCAGTAAAAAGTTACATCTCCAGGGAATTTATTTTAAACACATCTAATTACCATAAATCATATGTGCTTGTTTGAAATGGTCTCTAAAAAGCAGGACATTTTGATAAATGATTATAAATACTGTGAAATCATGGGGTTTGAGGACTTCTGATTGGTTTCTGAAACACATCAGTAAGAAAAATGAGCTGCACACTTGTAGTCAAAAAGAACTGTGTAACTGATTCATCAATATGTCTGTGCTTTTCAGCATGGTTGTAAACGGAAGCAAGAAAAAATACATAATAAAGCATAGTTTTTCTGGAAAGAGTTAATTTGTTTGGTATCCAGTATCAAAGTATCACCATTAAAAAACAACAACAACAACAACAAAACACCTCTGTAGATTTCATAAATGAAACAAGTTCAAAATCCAATTAATAATAATCATAATTTTAGGAGAAAACTTCTAAGGCTGATTGCTTAGCAAATGTTGGGCTACCTAGTGGGCTACTTGCTGGATTGTTTAATAGATGAAAATTTGCAATACGTTCACTTTTGCTCTCAGGAAATATAATCAGGAATTTTTCTAGGACTGTAAAATTTTTAAACACTATTTTACTGATACAGTCTCAGAATTCTTTGCCCGTAGCCAAAGAGTAATTTTGTGTGGACAGAAATAAGTATGGCCTCTAATGATGTATTTCTGTCTGTTTATATATATCATTCAGCAGGGCAGACATTCACTGGAGCACAAATGTTTTTGTGAGAAGGTCTATTGACTCTAGTGGAACTACTGAAGTGCTCAAGGTTTTTTAAGCCATTGAAACTGAATTCTGTTACTCTGTTTTAAATCTGTGGCGCAGAAATGTAATTGCATGTTATTCTTTTATTATTTGGTATTGAGCACTATCAAGGATCTCAGTCTTCAAAGCAAAGTCACCGAGGGGTCTGAATGAGTAAGAAGTGTGGTACTAGAACCAAATGCAGAAGGAGATATGGACACAGGGATTAAAGATCCAAATATTCTGGCAATATCTGGAGAAAATTTCACTAAAACTTTTCAAAAAATCATGGTTGTAGTTACCTTTCAGGATTTTTAAACTGCTGTTGCCTGGTAGGGAAAGAAAAAGGGAAAGAAAAATGCTTTATAATTCTTGCAGATATTTATTGATAAATTATTAGGATTGCCTGATCGTTTGAGCATTGCCAATTCAGCATTATACATATAAATTTAATTTTAATTTCATTGGTTTTAACATCCTAGGGTAAAATTTGTCCTAACATATCTAGCGTAACTTCTCTAGTATTTTGCACAGTAAGTAATCAGATTCTGGATTTTTTTGGTCAGACTTGTTGCCCTTTTTAGACATGCTAATTATTTAATAAGTGCTTTTTAATTGAGCCTGTTAATCTGCATATAGTTTGCCGTTTGGAAATACTCATTCTTTAGTGTTGTGATGACTTGATATGCTGTATCTCTGAAGTCCTCAAGAGCAGGATTGAGCTCCGTGTCTTGAAATCC